TATTTGAGTAACTTCCAAATTAAAGTCATATAAATTTCAATCTCCTGATGAAATCACTTTATTTCTAAGGGTCGTCTTCCAGTGAAGTGGACAGCCTATGAAGCGTTGTTGTATGGCACTTATACCACAAAGAGTGACGTGTAAGCGAACCTTATCATTCCTTTGGTGTAAATTTTATAAATTTTTAACAGTACAGTAAAAATTACTTGCATAGTCAAGTTGTGAGTCTATGGCTTTTTCAAACAATATCTTTTGCTTTTATTGTTGCGATTCTCGTGCACTCATCGGTCGAGAAATGTTGTTGATAATGTTACCGTTGATAAAAATAACTAAACATCATGTTACGCAATGTTCAGCAATTCTCGCCATGTGGAAGATAAATTTCTCGCTTAAGAACAATTGTAAAATTTCTTTTTAAAAAAGGTATGGACAGTGACGAATTTCTGAATTCTAAGATCGGTATATTTGGAGAAATTTTTGAAAAGGAAGTTGTCGATTTGGAAGAAAAGGCAAGGGGAAAATCTTCAGTAGTATGAAGTTGCCTCTCGGTCCGCAGGGTTTAAAAAAGAAAAAGCTTAATATAGAAAAACTTGCCGATCCCTGAGCGAACGTCACAAGAATTAAAGCTAAGTGGGCGATAAAAACAATTTAGGGTAACAGACCCTATTGCCATCCATTCTTTAATAGTATTTAATTGTAGAAGCCATCATATAACGCATTAAAACAAGAACAACCGTACAGTGCCAAAAACGTAACAATCGATCATGTCACACGCGGAGCTGATTTGTTTTGGCACATAAGCTGGTATAAAAATTTCGATGTTAGTGTATTAAACAAATTAAAGCAACCACAAACTTTTCAATGAAACCAATCGGCTGCGCCTCGTGGTTCCACTTTAGTTTTGAAGATTGTTGGCGGCGTCATTTCTTTCATCAAACTGATTTTTCTGTGACATAATTTTCGATTGCGTCATATCGTCACCTTATTCTATTGGCCCAGTTACCTAAACTATGTTACTTTGCCTCTTACATATACAGATGGAGTTATGGAGTTGTCCTTTACGAGATTTTCACTATAGGTAAAATGTGATGGAATTTGAAGACTTTCTGATGGTAGTTTACTTTAGAGTTATTATGAATCAGTGCAATCTATTTAGGCTGGGGGAGACTAGGGGAGATATGAATTGAACGTTCCTGAACAAATGCATTCTCTGTCCCATGAAACAGTTACACTGGGGTGTACATTATTTTATTTTGTTTGTTTACTTTTGCTTTATTCAGGCGGTTCACCATATCCACGGATGGATAGGAGAAAAATTGCAAACTTACTTCAAAAGGGGTACAGAATGCCCAAACCCCAACATGTGGATGATGCGTTGTAAGCTTGCTTTTCTGTTTTCAATTTATTCATAGTTAATTACGAGAAACATGTCATCATATGCGTCTGTCCTACATAACATGCTGCTTGTTCTGTATGTATACCAAAATCAGGTACCAGCTCATGATGAGATGCTGGCAAAATGACGCGGATGCGAGGCCAACATTCACTGAATTGAAAAATCAGCTTAAAGACATGAAGATGCTGCAGAAGGTGAGACTTGGAATGGAGAGAACAAAGGTTCAGCTAAATCGATATTATTTCATTCAAATGTCTTTAATCGTCCCTACTGATTTGAAAGAAAAAAGACGGCCACTATGAATATCCTTAAAAAACAGTCTCCTTTGGGATTATTAAAATTTCTCACTGACATGGACACCAATATATTTCGGCAGGAAGTCCTTCACAGTTGTTGAATAAAATGGGATCGATGGAATAACCGAAGAGTTAATGTGAATTCGAAGATGCAATTCTTCACGCTATGATAATATAATTATATCATCTCCGTGCTTTTATTTGGTAACTGGTCTTAACGTAAAGAAAGTAAAATAATTTTAATAAGGCTAATTACACGTCTTTTCTTTCTGCAGAGGCTGATCAACATGAAAATGTACGACAATGAACTGTATGACGACGTCGAGAATTCGGCAGTGTAGTAGTTTACACATCCTGAGAGTTTTGGAGGTCAACTGTTTGAAGGCCTCGCTACGATAGTGAATCGTTTGGACGATCTTCTTTTGAAGAATAAGTTTCATGTAGCAGCAGAAAATGCATCTTAAAATAACAGAAAAACGACGAAAACAAGGATTAAAAATAAGCACTAATAAAAGATTTACGAAAGTTGTCCAAACATTATTTTCCTGTGGTTACTTTTTATTCTGACCGAGGTCCGACTGGGAGCAAAACGAAGACCACAGAGCCAAAATCAGCGATTCATATGCGCAAGTTGCTGATATGGATAACCAGGTATAGCCAATGTGGTCATTACAATAAAAGTGTTCAGGCCCTTTTTAAATTCGCATTAAAGACAAAAAAATCGTCATCTTTTACACGGAAGATTATTCAGCTGCGACGCAAGCATCTGTCTTAGAGTTGCATTTTTAGGTTCAGGCTCGGCTGAATCGTCTCTTCGATTTTCATTATTTTATAGTCTGTGGTTTTGTTCCCTACATACTGACTCCAGGTGAAGGATGACAGATCAGTTACCGCTTAGCCGCAAAGATGTGTTTAACAATGTGGGCTTGTCATTAGTCAAACAGAGTCTAATGATATATTTTTAATTTTTTTTCTCTTTTCCTTTTGTTTTTTGTTTTATATTTTGGATGGAAATGTTTCTGCTTCAAGAAGCTAACAAGCTATGTCTTGTAACTCCCAGAAGATATAAAACAATCATGTAACTTCTGCATGCTCACAATATTGATACATTATTTATCGAACGAGTGACGAGAATTTTCCAAAGTTATCAGGAAAAGGTGTTCTCTTAATGAAATACCAACTTTGTAAAACTAATTTGTAGAGAATTATATTGCAAGTAAGGTAAGAAAATCAGTAAAGGACATATCTATGAAGTGAAAAAAAAATTGCATTTTTTGATCCATCGTATCTGAAGGATAACAGAGGGATTGCAAAGTACCATCTACTTATCAAGTGAATTTATCTTTCAAACAAGGTTCTTTCCAATAATCTTTAACGCGCATGAGCTAAACCAAACATCTGCCGATCAAAATCTCTCAGACAATGAAAATTCGAAGACGCCCAGTTTGCATCGTAGAAAAACGTTTTGGAAAAAGTGCGGCCTTTGAAATGAATCTGGTAGAATCGCTAGACCAGTTGTCATCAGCTAGTGCTAAAAAAGCGAAAAAGGCAAAGAAACAACATTTTAACGATGGAATGATCGATGCTGGTGACAGAGAAGCAAAGAAGCCTTTTCATTCGACAACTGGCCTTACAGTGGCGGTGATGTACAATATACTCATCTTCGCGTACGCCTGGTATACGAAAAACTATTTGGTTATGATGCTGGTTCTTGCTATATGGATGGTCTGAAATCTGTAAATACAAACTTCAAATGAAGCAAGCAGAACCTTTGGCGGAGATTTGCGGGTTAGAAACCATTTTATAAGTTTCTTTATAGAGAGTTGAACTTGAAAGTTTCAAGATGTACAGCAACTGATGTTTTCGTGAACATGACGATAATTGCGATTGCGGGAACTGCGACTCCGCCGTGCTGATACCGCTGACAGAAAAGTAATGAGCACGAGAATAGTCAATGTTTGTAACGATTTAAATGAATTTAAAACCGTAAACTTGAGGAATTAAGCCGGGTCGCTAAAAAGAATCAAAATTATGACTTACCACCGTGATCGGAGCAGAAATGCAAATACAAAACTTTCGCTGGTACACCATTGAATATTCTTTCGAAGTTCTATTTATTTCACACATACTGAACTTTGCACGGTGATGTACTATTGATCGTGTCTCTGATCGAACAAACGATATGTTTTCACTATCGTTCGCTTCCAGTCTTTGAAATGTGTCGGTCAGTAAGGAAAAATCTCAGAATGTATGAAAAAAAAAGAAAAACATCCCATAGAAAGCGCTTGAACGATTTTTATTCACTCGTTGCGATGCATAAAAAAACTCACCCGCTCGCTGCGCTTACTCGTTAATTCCTCTTTTTTATGCATGGCAACTCTTGAGTAAAAATTGTTCGTGCGCATTTTCCAGGGAATAATCTCTATCGACAAGAAGTCTTAAACAAAATATGTGGTGAAAGTACAACAGGTCAAACTGTGTCCAGATTGTGCGTTGTTCTTGGTCTCCTAGAATAAGGCGCGTCAATTTTGTCGTCGGCAGTCCTCGCTGGTCTCGCCCTGTCACCGATCCCATCCGCACCATCGTATTCGGCCAGGTACTTGGTCAATTTTGCGTTGCGTTGCGATTGTCCTGATCGAGGTTGGAAATGAATTCAAAATAACATCAGGTTCAGTGTTTTTTGTTTGACTGGATCGCGGAAGTTGTTACCAATGCGTAAGGCAGATTTCTGAATTTTCGTTATCTTTTGGTCATTATAAACGGCCAAAATAGGATTAAAGATTGAGTTTTTTTTCTTTTCAGTCTTTTGGGCTGAGAACGCTAATCGACGAGATCATACCTCATCTCCTCTCCCGATTCCATCTTCATTTGAAGTTTCCCAGAAAAAGGTGTTGCCGATACCACGCGTAACGCTTTTTAACTATCATCGGTGCCAAGCTAAGCGAATTTGAAGTTAGTAAGCCGTTTCCATTTGACCAATCTGCCTCTGAATTGTATTAATCTCGGGTTTTACTTCTAACTCGGGTACATTCTTGCGCATTTAAATGTTGTACTTGCATTTGATTCTACTTCTGTACAGCTGAATAATTATCGGGTTACAATGAATATATGAAGTTCATACATTTTGAACTGCGGTATTAGATACGTATGATGCACGATCCTCGCAGTAGATAGCGCTATTTATGCAATAGCGAAAATCAGACCTGAAAAAAAACAGGCCTGTACGGGACTCGAACCACTGACCTCTGCGATACTAGTGCAGCGCTCTACCAATTGAGCTAACAAGCCAACTGGGAGCAGGCCGTTAAGTTGATTCGTAATAAACCCGTGAAAGTGATAAATGAGAT